AGCTCTTTATCTCATTTTAAATCCTGACAAGATTACCAATGTACTGGATAAATGCCAAAACAATGAAGATGGAAAATACCTTAAATATATCATGCCATTTTTGTCTGGACTTCTTTCTGATAATGTAGTTGAGCTCATAAAGTGTTTGGTGCCAGTGGAACAGATAGAAGCCACACGTGTCAAGTACTTTCAACAGATTATAGATACTTTCCTTTACACCAAAGAACAGAATCAAGAAGGCGATTGTGAGCAGTTTGTGGAAGCTGACAACATCTTATTTGTGTGTCGATGCCTTTATGAGTATCAGTTTCCCAAGGCATGCCGACTCTTCCTGGAAAAGGTTCAGTATGAGCTTGATTTAGAAGACCAAACACTTGATCCTTACCAGTGCTGTGTAATATCCTATGTGGTCAATCAAGCTGTGCATCGGAATATTGATCTGGATCTCACAGATTGTAGCATTACTGACCCCGGCTTGAAACTACTTCTAAGCTCATTGAAAAATCTGAAATTTCTCAGGTACAAGAAGTTCAGTTATGGCTGTTGAAACAAACAGCCACTCCCTTTCATGGGTGTCAAGCAATGACAAAAATGATATGACGTTTATTTTTGTTCCTAGGTCAACAAGCACATTGAAATCTCAAATGTGGAGAGTGGCTCTTGCAGCAGGGCAGTTTTCAGATTTTGATAGCTTGCTTAGCTTATTCAGCTTTGAAATGCATCTCTCTGCACTTGAAACACTGGACCAGAAAGTGTTTCAAAGGATAGGAGAAGTCCTTAAAAATAAGAGATCAGAGATCAGTGTTCATCTTTTTCTGCATGTAAATGAAGAAGTCATAACCAGATCTTTGCAGAAGGCAATTTTTGAGAGCTTACCCAATATTGCAACCATTAGGTACAACCAGTTACACTTATTTATTAATTTCACTTTTTTTTGCTTAATTTACATATTCTGTATTTTTTTTCTCATTTGTTCATAGGATTTTCCCCCATCTATTTAAAGTAGCTATAGAAACAGAGCTCTATCTTCATTTCACTTTTTTTTACTTAATTTACATATTCTGTATTTTTTTCTCATTTGTTCATAGGATTTTCCCCCATCTATTTAAAGTAGCTATAGAAACAGAGCTCTATCTTCAAGGAGCTATTTATGAGATGAAGACAGGTCAACGATGTGTAAGGAGACTGCTGTCTGTTTGCAGCAATAATCAAAGAGAAAACTTTGATGATCAGTGTAAATTCTTGCTGAAACTGCATGAACATGCCAAGAACATGGATGCTCTTCCAGTTTTGCAACCTGTTTTCTATGCATTGCCACGTACCTGGGTTGTACAGCCTTCAAACCCATCAGTGTCACTACTTCTCCAAACCATGGAAGTTCTAAATTTAAGGAAGCCCGCTGAACTAGATCATGTCACATATGAGCTGAGTGAACTTAAAATAATTATTCAATGTATGCCCTACATTACAGAAATGAGGTGAGTTTAAAAAAAAAATTGTTCATTTAAAGGTATAGTTATAGTACTAGGTATAGTTCTTAAGTAAGTTTATTTTTTTTTTATACAATGCAGGTTCAGTGCTGCTCTCAGACAGCCCAAAGACATCCCCAAAATTGTTAAGATTGTTGCTGATCTTTTCATTCTTGCATCTGAAAGTGGAGGGGGAAAACTAAGAAGCCTTTCTACAGCATGCAGTTACTCAACCTTTCCCTTCTCTGAAGACAGCAAAGACATGCAGAGCTCTTTCCTTATGGATCTCTTCACCCAGTTGAAGGAAAGTTCATCATGGAAGACTGCACTACCAGCATTGAAGCCCATTCTTCAGGTTGCCCCTGCTGTATGGACATTGGACCTACAAAAACTAGAGAAGACTTTTGCTCTTACTGAACTACTGAAGCTTCAGGCCATCAAAAAATCTGTGGAGCTCATAAGCTGGTCATGTGAAAGAGAAAAACTTAGGAGTTTCCTAAATTGTTTACCCTATATTTCACACCTTTGGTGAGTTGATTTGCTATGACACATTTAAAATGCATGATGTTTCATTTGGTGGTGTAAAAGGTTCATCCAAAAATGAAAACTCTGTCATAATTTATTCACCTGTATGACTTTATTTCTTTTGTAGTACACAAATAAAGTTATTTTGAAGAATGTTGATAACCAAACCGTTTTGGTTATATTTGACTTACATTGTATGGACAAAACACTGAGACATTTATAAAAAACTTTTCTTTTGAAGAAATAAAGTCATACAGGTTAGAAACGACATGAGGTTGAGTGAAATATGACAGCATTTTAATTTTTTGCTGGACTATCTCTTTAAGTTGTCATATTTTAGTGTGCTTCCTTGCATTTTCTTGTTTGATTTGTGTAGTAACATCACATGCAACTTGTTATTTCTTTATAGCTGTAATGAGCAGTTTTTCCAGTCTGTGTGTGAAGTCCTTTCAGCAGACAGCGAATGGAATCCAAAACAGATTGCTGAGCTTTTAAGATCCCTTGGTTTTAGCATTTCTTTGATAGACATGCTGCCAAGTCGCCTCTGCGAAGCTGTTGGCAATGTTTTTAAACTGCTGGACAAAGAGGAGGACATCTCCCTCAGTCTTCTTCCTCAAAGGATCTCTTGTCAAGGTTGTGCCTACCTCTTTTCAAATGTGAAAAAGCTTCAAACATTGAGGTAATAATTTTTATGATGTAAATTCATTGCACAAATTTCAGTGTTCTGACCAAGTACACCTGCTTACTTTTTTATTTTTACCATTTTTGATTTTATTTAACTTTTTTTTTTTTTTCAGAGTAAATGAAGTAGCAACTGCAAAGCTGGCACGACTGGTTATATCAGATAAAGAAATAAATGCTGTAACTGTGGAAGAGCTGTCATTGGTTTTGGATAACTCTCATCTACCAGAGAGAGCACTATGCCAGCTATTAAGTAAGCTAACTTCTCTTCTTAGAGTCTGGAGAGTCCACAACTTGAACCTGTCTGAATTTAAAATTGAGCCTCACTGGCTCATTTGTCTGCTGTGTCATCAGGGTCCCTTGTCCATTAAGTAAGCATGAATTTGCTGTGGAATATATACATCTTTTTTTTTTAAACCTTGAAGTGTTCGTTTACTTGAAAAAAATGTATATTAATAAGAATTCTGTGACAACAGATTTCCTGAAGGGACTCTGCAACGACTGGCAGAAATTGTGTATGATGCTCAAGATGAAAATTTGACACAGTTGTTCCTGGAGAAAACGGATGGTGATTTATCACCTTGTAATTTGTCCTGGGAGGTTTTATCTTACCTAATTCAGGGCACCAAAAAGCAAGTGACACTAGACCTTGCAGAGGGTAGATTTAGTGTCTTGAAAGTTCCGAGCCTTCTTGCTTTACTGGACACAGTGTGCTTTAAAAGGCAATATCTTTACTGGTGTACAGTTTAATATATCTATTCATATCTACACTTTATGGTGTTGTTAGCATTAGACATTCTAAAATAATTCTTCCTTATAATGCAGGATAAGCCCGCGGTTTGTCAGGGCTGCATTGAAGGAGATATACCAAAACCATGCTGGTCATCTGATTGTGAAATTAGTTAAATCTTCAGCTAACCTGATTAACCTTTGCATGAGAGAGTTGGATTCAACTGACTGCAAAGCCCTCTGTTTTGCCCTGCACTATAGTGATGGTGTTAAGCTCAACCTGTTGAACTCTGTCATACCAAATAATGAGACTGACAGCATCGTCAAACTTCTGCACAGAGTATCTGATCTGAGGTAATGTGCTCAAATAATTTTTGTTCAACTTGCATTTAAAATTCGAATGAGTTTTGCATTGCTCACAGCACTACTGCTTTATGGGACTAGGGTTGATAGAAAGCTGTTGTTGAACTTTCTTCATGCCTCTAAGAACATGGAAAAACAAGGATATTCGGCGTCTTCCCTTTTGACTGCACTGAACCACAAACTGGACTTCTCCTGCAATTCTTCCCTCAGCAGTGGCCGTTCTGGTCAGGAGAATAGGGATCTTCTAACTATGAGTCGTATGGATTTTACAGCCATTTCTTCTGCCATTAAAACATCAACGTGCGATACAGAATTGATTTTATACGACTGCCAAGCAGATGATTCTGCACTTGAGATTCTATTCCCTATTCTGCACAAAGTGCATCTTCAGTGAGTCCTCATATACTTTTTACATAAATTAAGGTAATTCATTTTATTGTTAGATTTCTACAGAAGATTAAATGATTCAGTTGCAAAAATGTCTGTTTTACAGCTTGGGCAAAAGTCTTCTTTGTCAGGTTTTAACCTTGATTTCCAATGCCCCCATGGCCATGTCTTTGCAATGGGCATCGTCACTTTCCAAAGTTCTTGGAAAAGAGCTGAACCTCAGTGACATTCCTCTTAACTATCGTACATGTGAGTCTCTGCAGTTAGTCCTGGATGACAAAGAGGAGCTCACACATCTTAATCTCAGCTATTGTCAGATCACAGATGCGTGCTTGGATCTTTTGCTGCCTCACCTCCACAAAATTATGATTTTGGAGTGAGTATTTATAGGCTAATTAAAGAAAAGACTGGGCTGTTTTTTTTAAATCTATTTCTTTATTTAAACCATATGATTAATGATTTCTCTTAACACTTTTTTTTTTCAGTCTTACTGGAAATGACATAACTGATAAAGGTGTTCTGAGACTGCACCAAGCCTTAGATGAAAACAGTTTCACAAAGACCATATGGTGATTATGGTGTTAAATATTTTGTGCAGCTAGCACTGTACATTGAAATTGTATTGGAAAAATAAATTAAAAATTCTCTGTTAAAAAAAACCCCTGATAATTAGTTCATTTTAATTGCCCTTATTCCAGGGGTACAACCTAAATGTTTTGGATTATTTAACACATTAATTTAAGATCATGGAGTACTCTACAATATGATGGGGATTTTTTTAGTTGTAGCTTATAAGTCACACAATGTCACAGTGCTTGTCAAATTGTTAGTCTTTTTATGGTAAAGTTCTCACCATCTCAGTTGCCAGTTTATCTGTTTGTTTGTTTAAGTAACAGTTTTGGTTTGTTCTGATGTGTTAAACAGAATTGAATTCTTGATCATCTTTATTCAATCATTTGCACAGCATTTGTGACAACCAAGTAACAGAGATGGGCCTCCTGGTGGAAGAAGCACGCTTTGAAACCCAACATGCTGATACAAGAAGATGCATCCACACACAGAATTACATTACAAAAGATTTGAGATCAAAAAGTGAGATGGAAAAATCAATCAGTTCTTTTGTTAAGGTACTGGTACCAAGAATTTGTTTCTTTTATGTTTGTGAGAGTGTTCAGATATTTTTGAACAGCATTCTGAAAAGGTTGTATGTCATATGCAGTTTGCAGCACAGAGAGATTTAACCAGTTATGAGCTAGCAAAAGCCTAAATCATTAGTTGCGTGAAGATGAAGGAATTATATTTTTGTTTTATGAATGGTAGATATGAGTGGAATGTCAGTAAAGGACAACAGATCATGAAGGATCACTCATGGACCAATTGCAAACAGGAGGGTAATGTGGTAGGAAAGGGAACCTCAATCTTTATTTAAGGATGGGTGATAAAGTGTGCCCATTCTTAATTTGTCAGCAATGTATGCTGAGATTATCTCTGTAGTTTTGGAGCTGTGGATCTCTGTGTCATTTTATGTTAAGGTGCAGGGTGAAGATAGTGAACATTTCTAACTGATAAATCGGGTATAGGATACAAGCAGGAAAAGCACAGATGCAATAAAACACTAAGCATTTGCTTAATACATATTTCTCACACTAAAATATGATAACCTAAAGAGATAGTTCAGCCAAAACATGAACCACCCTCATGTGATTCCCAGCTGTATGATTTCATTTCTTGAAAAGAAAATATATTTTTAGAAATATCTTTATGTTGTTGTCCATACAGTGTAAATCAAATAACCAAAATGGTTTGGTTATTTACATTCTACAAAATATCTTCATTTATGTTCCATAGAAGAAATAAACTTATACAGGTTTGGAACAACATGGGGGTGAATAAATGAAAACAGAATTTAAATTTTTTTTGTGAACTATCCCTTTAACACTGCCTAATGAAACATCAGGCATGCATTTAATTTTACAAAGCAAATCAACCTAAGGTGTAAAATATAGGGTAAACAATTCAGGAAGGTAAAATGACAATTAGGATACAAGAGAAAAGCACAGATCCTTTGTTGTTTCTTAAGTGATTTCTCATTCTTTAAACTTGTTAGTAGTAAAAAGTCATGTAAAAAACATTTCATATAAAAACATCTTATATTGTAGACCGAAGATCTCATAAAGACGTTTGAGCCTGAACTAGCAGTAAATAATGGCAAGATTTCCTATAGGTCAGTAAATTCTCCTTGTCTTTGAGGTATGACTTTTCTGTGTGAAATAGTTTCTCAAAAATGTTTTTTTTTTTATTGTCTTGCAGGTTTCAGTGGAAAACAGAAGGCCTTTTCATGTGCAGCGCAACAGGGCTAGTGTTCGGATTGAAAGGAAGTGGATGTGTAGAGTACAGTGTGGCTCACTGGGATGTGCGTCTCCTCATCAACACTCACTATGAGCCTGCTGGACCTCTGTTCGATATCAAAACCCCTACAGGAGAAATCTATGAACTCCACCTTCCACACTGTGAGACACACGGTAAATGATAAAGCATGTTAATGAATGGATACCCTACATATTATGAATATTCAAATGATTGTATAGAGAACTGAAATCAGCGCATATCAGTTCAGTTTCATTATCATTCATTAACAATGATGTTGGCCTTCTGAGCTCTGTTGTACAATATAGTGAGCTGTCTCTGCTGTGATTCTGATGCTGCTTCCTCACTGAAATTGAATCTTTTAAATAACTGATTCTTTGTAAACATTCTTTGACTGACTAGAAATGGTTTCTTACGACGCTCTTAAAAGACTTGACTAATATTGCATATTATTTTACATTTAGATGGGATGATTTTTGGTCATTTTCAGTATTGAATCAAATGTAATTGACAGTATGTCAACTCCACACTAAGGACATGTGTGCCTTATGTGGCTTTGATGAACAGCTCACTAGGTTTTCAAACACAATAATATTCATCTTATTTTGCCATCAAATGAGGGTTTTGATGGATTAAAGTCTAGAAAAAGTTGCTTATATACATATTTCTGTGTGAGCAGAAAAACTGTATTTAAAAATAGTACTATTTAATCCCAACTGTTTGTTTTTTTATTATAAAACTTAACTGGGTTTTTGTCTTTTTTTAACCACTTTTTATCTACAGTTGATGCAATTGGAAGTCTTTCTGTTGTCCATATACACAACGAGGACACTTGGGAATTCCTCTCTCCAAATAAAATTTCAAGAACACATATAGCTGTAAATGTCTGTAGGTTATCTAGGTACGGCATTGTGCATGAGAATAATCAAAATAACAAAATCATCAATGGCCAGGTGTTGCTGTTCCAAGAACCTGACATGTCACTGACACAGCAA